TGTAACAACCTAACCATGCTATATTAAAAGAAGAGATTGAAAAAGCATTACTTAAAAGGTGTATCATAAACAGGTTATTTGTATTTGCCATACTCAAGCTGTTTTTAATGCGAAATACAAATTTGCAAAAAATAAATGCATACAGTGTTGCACATTCTGCAAAAACCTGTCAATGAGGCCAAGTTTTTTACAGTCAAGTATAGTTTATAAGCAGCGATAAGAGCTTAAGAGAAAAAGGAAACGCAATACGACAACTTCTCTTATAATGCAGAAATAATCTTCAATGCCTTTTTTGCATTATCTTCTACATAAAACTCTGCAAATCAAAATCTTGAAAATTTTACGACATATTTGAATCTTACCATTGTCGGTTGTTGTTACTCACTTTTCCTCGCGATTTACGTAAACGCATTTTATGTTCAAATTTTGGCATATCGCCATAATAGAGGCTCTAACTCTCAAAACCTGTTTTACTGGTTGGATGCTTGCAGCAACAGCTTAGCAAATCATAGATGATTAGTATTCAGCGCTTTGGTTCTATCAAGGCTTTATAGGTGACAAAATCAGGAATAAATGGATACAATAATTATAACCCTTCTTACTCTTAAGTAAAAAGTCATAGTACAATAATAACACTAGTTTATGTTATCAAGTTACTCCTCCTCATTTATCGGCAACAAAACATTTTAATTCGCCATGTGGCTTTGTTCCTTCTTTAATGATGTTGGGTAATATGCTTACCGATGTTGTGTTTGCGGCCGGATTTCTATGATTGATAATTTTTACTTAACATTCTCTGCACATACACAACAACTCTTCAAATATACTCTGTTTCTTAGTAGGGTAACTCAAAGAAAAAAATCATTCCTAACAGTAAAAATGGTGCTTTTCAGAGCACAACATCAGTTACAGTTGTTTAATATATGAAAATGTGATACCGATACAACGAATTTCCCCAAGAATCAATTTTGTTATGTGCCAAATTTTGGTTGTCTTCAATATGAACTAGTTTGGTCACAACGTCACTAAAGAGCAAATGTCTGGGATAACAAATTTTCTACATGAGCAAAGAATAAGTGGGTACTATATATGCCTACGCCCTGAAAAAAGCACTCACTGCGCGGAGGTACATTGTAATTCTCATCAATCACCTATTC